GCAGAAGCCATTTATATCAGACTCATTCTCATCATTGCTGTCTGCAGACTTAACATTGATCTAAACCCAATTTTTTTTTTTTTTTTCTCTCCAGGGAGTATGGTCTTTTGTGAAAAGGCCCACAGCATAGTTGGCCAACCTCAAAATAAATTAAAGAAAAATACCCTTTATAAAAACTAGAGTAAGTGCTCTCAGAAAGGAGAGCTAGAAGGCATGACAGGACTGAAAATATCTACATATATCAATATTTCTTCTAATATGTGTTAAATACCTTAAGTTGTTTAGCTAAACTTAAAATAACTGAAGAAAGGGTTTTTTACATTTAATGATGAACAGAAACTATTGCAATACCTATGGGAAGAGCAGACATGGTTGGACTTGATCTTAAAGGTCTTTTCCAACCACATTCTACGACACCTCTCAGCATTTAGGATTCAGCCTTCTCTGAATCTTCTACAGACAAGGCAAATTTATGGTGAGGACTGCACTTATAATTCATAATTCATAACAGTCATCATACAAACACAGGGACAACCGAATAACTGATTTGTGAATGACTAAATCTTTGACCGTGACTTGTCTAAGGCTCTGTCCGAACACGGACGTTCATAAATGTATGTCAGCACTGTAACGGCAAATACGTTACTTCTAATTCAGGGCTGCATGCCAGGCACTCTTGTGTGTTATTCATTACTGGGAACATGCTTGCCTTCTGTTCTCATTTCCTGGCATCAATGGGTATCACTTGTAGTACAATTACAAGTACAGCTACTCATTCGGACTGACTCAATGTATACCCCAACAAAGCGACGGACATCAGGAAAGAGCTGCTTCCAAAAATGCTTGAAGCAAGCAGGACACACAACTTGGATGAGCTTTGCCCACATTCGTAACGTAGTACAACGTGCTCTGGAGGCTCTGAGGAAGGGTAGCACAGCACCTCTCCCTAGCAAAGGGATGTGACCCTACAGGCAGTGCAGGAACGTCCTTGTGACCAGCACATCAGTCCAGTGTGACCAGACCTTACTGACTACTCCTGCTCCCAAATCCTTTTCCATTGCTGTGCATACAGCTTCTGAATTTCACAAGGTCCAGAATCCAAGAGGCAGCAGCCGGCATAAAAATGGGGAGAACATGATGAGTCCTAGATCTTGCATATGACCCATGAGACACCCGACAGAAAACAGATCTAGGGTAAATGGGCCTGGAGATTTCCAGAAGGTCCAACCTAGATGGGTAGAACAAGTATTGAGGGAAGAAGGTGGCGTTACTTTGAAAAGAATCAGAACTTTCAGGGGAGTGCTTGCACTCGTTGCAAACCAGAGGTCAAGGCTTATTACTGAAGATCAAACCCGTTATTCCAAAAGAAGAAACTTGTTTCCATTCATCTCTGCCTTCCTCTTCAGAACACGCTGATAATGGCACAGTCGTTTTTAGACATGGGGTATTTTGCACTACTACACTATCCTCAAGTAAAGATGATTTATCCTACATTCAGCTGTAGCTTAATCTTAGCCTGAGTGCTCTCAGCGATCTGTCCAGACTGAAGAAAACCGAACCAGTGAGACAGCTGGGGTAGTGCTAACGTTTTCTCAAATTCCTCCAGCAGTAACGAAACCATTACTCCCACTGCAAATGTCAAGGTGCAGTGGCCGCTGACCAGTCTAGCTGAAGCTGTAATTTACACAAAACTTTAGCTTGAAATTAAAAGATGCTTCCCTATTGAAGATTACAACTTGTCCATCTACTTTACAGCTTCATGCTGCTGCCACATCTGTCCAGAGAGGAGAATCCTACAGAAGATAAGACCTGAGCAGCTGCTTTCACCACTGTGCTGGACGGCAGGGAAGCTGCTCTCTGCTAGGACACTCGTCCTTTAAATTCAACACAGAATCCACCAGATACTTTGCCCGTTACTAGCTGCTCTCCAGACACACTTCTGTATTACACCCTGAGCTGTTTCAAGTGCTAATATGCAGCCGCAACGGGCTTGGAAAACAGTGGCTGAAAACACTGATTCAAGTACTCACAAGCTCAGGGGTAGCGCAATCACATGCATCTCCCTGAAGGTTCTCAGGGGAGAAGTCGTAATATTTCAGTTAGCCTTCTCTTGTACAACTTTTGCACTATTAAAACTGTGCCTAAACCTCAGCAAAATACAACTTTCCCCCACTTAATCCCTATTCAGCCCCTGAACTGCCACGACTTGTCACGTGCATTCACCGATTCCCTGCAACCTTTTCTCTCATCCTGATCTAGAAGAAAATAGCACCTATTTTCTACATTTTAGCCTGAAAGTTCACAGGATGGAAAACACTGAGCATATTTCTGGAGAGAAGTAGCTCCTGCACTCAAATTTTCTCTCTGGTCTTTCCTAGCACCAGGAGTGCAGTAATCCCTTGAAAGCATACAGTCTACAGTCCTGAAAAATAACATTTAGTATTGAAAAGTTAAGATGCTCAATTTGTATATGAATTCGTTTCAGAAGAGGCTTTTATGAAGCAGTGTGGGGCTGAGATGCTGATCACCAAACTTCAGACGCCTCAGAGGAGAAAAGTTCTCAGCAAACATCAGCAGCAAGAGGCAATGAACACGCAACTGAAATCAAAATGTAGGCACTTAATTCACCCCGTGCAGCAAGTGCTCCCTTCCTTCTGAACACCTAAGCTCTGGAAGAATCTGACTCTTCAGTTTAGCTCTCAGCAAGAATGCTGATTTCTCGGGCTCAACTCCAAACTTTGCAATAGGATACAAGCCTTCAGATGAAGTGGTTAGGATTATTATAGTTGTGGCTCTTTAAAAAGATCAGTGGTTTAATGGAAAAATAAAAAAAAATCAAGGTAATTCTGCATCCAGTGTTACCACAGGAGCAGAGGGAAATTCACACAGGGCGTCTCTAAGGCAGACCTGTAACATGACACAACTGAACTCATGAATGTTATAAACGGGGGCAGGTGTCATGCACAGAATCACGTATGATACGACAACCAACTGCTGTACTGCAGAACAAGTACTCCTTCATACGGCTGCTGCGGTACACAACACATCCTGTGGATCTATATTCCTAATTTAGTTCCCTGAAACATGATCACATAATTGCTTTCTTTCACCAAATCATTAACAGTTGTTCAGAGATCTGCCAAGCCACTCCAACAGTAACAAACTACGACCATGTCCCTCTCGGCACACCACGGAATTAGTGATGTTGATGCCGGCTGGGGAAAGAACCCATTCTTGAACTCCAATAACTGTATTCTCCAATTTTGTATTTTTCTCCGTGAAAAAAGGCAGGCGTCTTCTTTTTGCTCCGTCTCTCAAGTGAAAATTTAGACATTAAGGCAGTAAAAGGCACTTTAAGAGTTGTAGTAACAAACCAGTGACAGCACAGATCCTACCCACAACAATGCAGACAGGAAGAACAGACCCGGACTAAAAAATCTGAAAACACAAACTGGAACAGCACACCGGTCCCTGCTGCTCCAGCACGGCGACAAAGACCCCTGTCCCCGCGCCAGAGGGTTCCTCCGATGTGCTCTCAAATAAAAAGCTCCTGCTAAAAAGACCCCAAACCAAGTACAATTTAAGTTCAAACAAGACGTTTTCGTTGTTGCCAACAATATTAAGGCTGTCAAAGGCCCAACACATCTGTTACTCAGCAGCTGCAGAAACAGGTGCGGGTCTGCGTATTCAGAACATCCCTCAGATGTCCCAAGTAGTCACTGACATCATCATCGGCACCGCGGGACAGAGAAGGTGCCACACAATACCCAACCCCTTCTGTTACAGCAGGAGAGGAAAACAATCACCTTCTGCAGTTTGAGGGGGATTGATTCCAGCCTTCCCCGTTCCCAAAGGGGTTTTCAGGTAGGAGTTGGGAACGTGAGCACTGTGCTGATCATGACATCATTAGGTTACAGCAGTTTGTACCAGAGTTTACCTTTCTTTACTTTAACACATCCTTCCTCCCCTCTGTCCATTTTTCAGTCTGTTCCTAAACCTGAACTAATTCTGTGGCAGATCTTCGTGACTGAACAGCAGCTTTGAGGCATGCAGACACCATTTTCTACAAATGCAGATCAAACACCAACTTCCCTCATTTAAAGGAATACAAGTGCCCGTATCATTCCACTCTGGAAATGAACATCAGAAATGAAGCAACTCTCTGATGAGGTCAACACAGGAGAACACCCCAGAGACCTGGTCCTTGTGGGAAAACGAGGACTAGCACTGCAGAACGAGGTACCGCAGCAGCTGACCATCACAACCTCTGCCCAGAGAGTCGTCAGGGCCTCGCAAGGAAGGATAAAGGAGCTTTCATCACCATTAAAATGCTGAGTCTGACCAAATCTGCAGTTTCTCAGACATTTCTCTTTGCTTAAATACCACTTCAAACTTCCCCGTGCTCTCACTCACAGGCCAACACAACAGCTTCCGCTCCCCTTCTCCCAGGCAAGTGGGGAACTGACTGGAGCTCAACCAAGTCTTGTCGGGCTGGCTCTCTTTTTTAGCTTCAACCCGCTCCAGAACCGGCCGCGTGCAGAGCAGCACCGACACGGGGTAGGGCGTGATGCCCATGGGCCTGCCTGAACTGGAAGGTTTGGCCAAAAAGAAATGTTCTCCCAGTTTGATGGTAAGCACAAGGAGAGGGAAGTTTGAAATCCAGGTCTCGGCAAGACTTCCCAGCTCACGTGTACTGAGCAGCGTCCGGGGGTTGTGACCTTTGCGTGTTTTCTCCCGGTGGTGGTGAAGGGATGAGATACTGCCAATTTTACTTAAATGTGGTTTTCTTCTCTGCAAACAAACTTAGACCTTTCTTTAGACTCCTCCTCCCACAAGCCACTTCCCTTTCTTGTTTCACATTAATAAAAAGCAATACTTTGTTTGCAAAAAGGTGATTTAAAAATGCAAAAAGGCTCAACATTGTCTCCCCAAATGCTTTGGAGACTGAGTCATTTGCATGACATAAAAAAGGCAGATATGGCACAAAAGAATGGAAATTGAGTTAAAAAAATCAATTTTATAAATATTCTTCCTCTGTACAATTTTCACAGCCCCATCCCTCCCACCCATTTTTTATTCACATTTCTTTTTTTTTAATTCCCACCCCGATTTATTTTTAAATCATAAAATATATATTTAAAATCTGTTCATATTTTAAAATATTTACAGGAAAAGTTCCTTCTGTTGAGGTCATGAGGAGTCTGTACAAGGAGAAGGTGGAGGGGGATAGAGGTGAAAATAGCTTCGTTCCGTGGCAGGAGACGGAGGGCAGCTTTCTTCTGCCGACATGTACTGACTGCGAGGTGTGGGTGGAGGGGGATAAGGGTCTGAGTCTGAATTTAAATCTATGTAGTATTTGTTGGCCTTCCATCGACTAGTAGTATAGTCACTGTCACAAACATCTGTGCTGCACGGAGTTGTGGGTGGCGCTATCCCTCGTATGACGTACGGCCTAAGGGGAAAAAAAAAGCACATGCATTAGTTGGAATCTGGGGAAAAAAAGAAAGAAAAAGGAAGAAAGAGATAGAAAATGAACAGCTCTGTGTCCTCAGCCAAGATGCCTGCTCACTAATACTGTGTGAGCCCTAATTCAGGATTTGACAGGAAACAAACACGAGGTGCCTGAACCGTGTGAAATTCAAATGGCACAACTACCCTCAGCCAGCTCTGCGTTCTTCCAGCCCCTGAGCAGCCAGAGGACACCACCAGGACCACTCAGCCCGGTCACTAAGTTGACCCAAAGAGTCTGAAGATAAGGCTGAGGAGGTGATCAGCAAACACCAACCTTCTCTGCAGTGGGTGCTAAGCGCCTACGACACAGCAACATAAGCTACATACGCTGCATTCTTACTCAGCAACGCTGTACTGAACGGTGCCAAACCCTGGTGTGCCAAAAAACCACACAAAGCCAATGTTTAACATCGAAACGGGCATAACCCTCCACTTGAATGCTCAATGATTAAGACAGGGAAAGGATTTTTAAACAAGGTAAAGTCTGAACAAGAACATTTTGCTGAAGATCCAAAACTAAAGGAGAGATCAGTAGATTTATCAAACCTTTTTGTCTGCGCTGTACCTGTAAGATCTCGTGGTTGAAGGAATGTTGGAGGAATAGAACATCTCTGCGTTATACAGGGAGCGATCGGTAGCTGGGGAAGGAGGTGGGTTCAAGATCTAGGTAGAACAGGAAAAAGCAGTGGGAAAGTTTGGGTTAATTATACAACTCCACTTATTTCGGAAATATTATTTATCCCTTTGCCCTGTCATTCATCCTTGTTTCAGTTTCCCCTCCTTGCTGCTTGCCTGGGTTAGTGCATTTTTAAAGATCATGGAAGTTCCTTACAAGACTATTCCGGGCTTAGGCACTGCAGGCCTTCAAAGTTCTCACAGTACAGGGAATTTTCTTCCTTGCCACATCCATTATTACGCTGGAAAGTGAGGCTAAAGCTGGAAATCAGACCCAGTTTTGCTGAATCTCGGTGCACTTCCTTGGACATAAGGACTGTATTAGGGTCATTATCAGCAGATGCTAATGGGAAATAAAATCTGTTCCACTCCCAGCCCCTGAACATACCCCCAGTCAACAGTAGGGTCAGGAGGCCAAGTTCCTTTATTGTAACAAGCACAACTCCATCCTGCATGGAATACTTCCTTTTTACTGATAAACGTATCATTTTGGCACAGTTCACAACGCAAAGAACCTAAGAGCTGAAAAATAGCTATGGCCTGCTCTAGCCTGTGTGTGCATATGCACGGTTGCTTGTAACCCTCACACTGGGAAAACAGTTTATTATGCTTCAGAATCCTTCAGGATTCTTTCCCCAGCAGGAAGCAGAACCCCTGACATGGTCAGGAGGACATCTGCCTAAACCAAGTAGAGCGCTTCATCCCGCCCCGTGTGGAAAATTACAGCATGGCTGTTGATGGTAGGGCCTTGCTACTGATGTGAGCGTCTTGTACACAGCCCGTCCCAGGCGTTCTGCCCAGCCACGGCCGGCCACAGTGACCATGATAGCCTCCTCTGCTGCTCTTCTCATAATAGTAAAATGTAAATAGTAAATGTAAAATCACCGGAGCGGAGATCATAGGTTTTGTCTTCACTGTGCAGCGTCTACCAAAATGACTCCTGGCCGTTGAGTTGAGCTCATCACTAACACTGACAAGCCCTGCACCCAGATTCACGTGAGGGGAGACAAGCTTGCCTACCACTCACTGCCAGCCAGGGAAACGATGAGTAATTGCCCCAAAAGTATCTTGCAAAAATCCTCTTCCTTGGAGGAGCACTACATGCTACCCTGGATTCTCTCCTGCTAGAACCCTGAGCTGCATCAACACCACTTCACGTTCAGATGAAATACAGCCAAGATTCCTGTGGCCAGCTCCTCAGGTACATACACTGGTGTAACTCCTAACGTAAATTCTTTCCTAGTCTCTATTCACATCTCTCAGTGCCACTAAGATACCAAACAAAACAAAATGACAAAGTGAAGACAACTGGATGTTCAGATCTCTCCTTTTTATTATTAACCTAAAGCTGGGTAAGTAGCGACCAGGTAGAACTGACCAAAATATCTGGATTAAGCAGTAACTCTAATGTAACAAAACGCGTTCAACAGCTTCCTTCTAAGAATCCGGCACGCCTTTCCTGAAGGACAGGCTGATATCATCCCTACAGGCCCTGCCTGACACAGCCTGGTGTGGAGAATGTGGACAAAGGATTCCCAGCTTCGACCAGATTAGCTTAGACCAGAGGTCCAACGGAGGAGTCGATCTTCTGGCCAAGACAGATCCCATGGAATGGCACAGGCAGATCAGCTCTTGAGCTTTATTCCTCTTTCAAGATTTATTTGAGATTAGACCAGAGGTCCAACGGAGGAGTTATCTTCTGGCTGACACAGATCCCATAGAACGGCACAGGCAGGTCAGCTCTTGGGCTTTTTTCCTCTTTCAAGATTTATTTAAGTGAGGGTTTTCTTAATATAAATTCCACTACATTTTTTCTGTTCATCCTTTTTAGTGCAGCACTGACACATCCATCAGGTATGAAAGTGTTCAGCTCGTTACAGAGACACTGGTGAAGCATGAGACAAGCTAAATTAAGAGGGCCACTGACTTCCAAACTAGCTGTGACTAGCTTCTTGGTGGCTTCACTGAGAAGGTAATGTGAGAAGCAAGTAACCCATTTTACCTCATCAACAGATAAGCTCTCAGGACTCTCATTTCTGTCTCTGTTCTTAGAAGGGAGAGAGAGCACCCCTGCCACTGGTCAAAACACTGTCAGTCATAATGCCCACACGCAGCGTAACAGGTCCCATGTAAACACAAATGCACATGCACCCACACAGCACGTGTGCTCCTGATTAATTACTACTGAAAAATCGATTCCACAGCTAGCAGATGACTCTGCAAGCTCGGACGAACAGAAGAGTGAATGTCTGTATTGCTCAGAGGCACTAAGGAAAAAAATGTCATGACAAAATGCTGGCAAACAGAAACCTCTGCATGTCTGTCCTACATACTCTTAGAGAATCATTTCCATTCATGCTACATCTTTGAATTCATGAACTCTTGATACGGGGACTAAAATTCTGTCACTACCAACAGTTAAAAGCCAGAAATGGAGCTAAATTACAGCTGAAAAGGCCCGAGCAAAGTAACCTCTGCTGGTACCATATTTTCTCTGAGTGCATGCACCTGGTTTTCTGAATCAACACTGCAACAGCAAGCCAAGCTTATTTCTTACGTGCCTGCATTCCAGTCCTGTTGCATCCTGTCTGTCTTTATTCCGTGTGTGCCCTCAGCATTACGCAGTGCGGAATGTCACTGGGCCACTGACACCAGAGTTTACAAGAACAAAGGAGGTGGCATCTCCAAGGGAGTCAGGACAGAAGTGCCCAGGAACAACGCAGCTGAGTATCACTCTAATAGCAAAACATTTCAGACACCAGGCAGCATTGTTTAATCCTGAGTGACTACAACAAAGCCCCTTTTGTGAGGTTCAGTGGCTGTCGGACTGGGCCTGTACGTCATAAATAGTAACACCCACGAAAAACTGTTATTAACATTCTATTCAGCAGCATAAATGTTCATCTTCCTGTTCTTCAGAAGTGGAAGAGACCTAACTCACAGGCATAGTTTCAGGACATACCTGTGGGTAGAAAGTGGCTTTAGTACTGGAAGAGCTACTCGAAGAGGCTCCAGTGACATGGTTTCTGTCATACAAGGGGGCAGCGCTGCTTCCTCCCATGAGGCTCATGGAACTAATCATGGACTTTCCACAAGAGATGCCTGCAGTGAGACAGAGAGGAGAACAAGGTTAGGTAAACCACAGTTTTATCAACCAAAGCAAAACAGAAAACAAACCCACAGCTCGGTGAACCCATGCAACGCTACTGGGTGTCACTTTGGGAACAGTGTTCCATGTAAAAACTTGGGGATTACAAGGAACAACATGTTTTATAAAGAAAACATCTCACCCCCCAATGACCTACTCCTGTTGCAGCACTGAACTCCTCACAACCTGCTCTCACACTCCACTGAGAAAGGATTCTCCGGAACAGCTGATCCAAACTTTTCACCCAAATCGTTAACGAAAAGAGTTTCGAATTAAACAAATTCAGGCATATGCATTGCCCAAGA